AAAATCACTAAAGGAAACTAAGTTTAAATGAATAAGTAGATACATTTTACTCATCTGTCAATGGCTTAATTTTATAAAACTAACAATTTGTGAAAGTAAAAAAAAGAGAGCCATGATACACAGTAAGAAGAATAAATGAGAGAACATACTAGATAGGTATCATGAGGTTTTTACTAAGCAATAAAAACCAAGACAAGCAAGGGACAAAAATTAAAACCCCTGAAGTAAGAAACAAAGGTCCCCTCAAAACTTGCAAAATTATGAACATTGGATGCATACCATATGTACATAGAAGTCACATGTCAAATCTTTGGGACAAAATAAACCACTTATTGGGTATCAAAGAGGAAAAGAATTAAATTTTATCTCAACATCAAACTATAAAATTAATCAATTCCAAATGAATCTATTCAATTCCAAATGAAAGGTGAATAGGAATTCTGTATGATATTCTGGGACAATAGTATATAATCTCAAGATAAGGAAAGGTTTAAAAAGTGAAATGTAAAACAAAAAATTAAATATAAAGAAAATGATTGACAAGTTCTACTATGTAAAATAAAAACTTCTATTTATCAAATGATATCATAATGAAAATGAAAAGACAAGCTACCGAGTGGAAGAAGATACTTATAACACAGGTACTGAGAAAAAAATCGTATCTAGACTATCAAAACTAATTCAAGTTCCTTAAAAAATATAACATATGAGAGATATGTCACAAAACAGGAAATACAGATGGAAAACAAAAATATGAGGTAGTGATGAAAAACACCTAAAAATGGAAACTGCAAAAAAAAAAAAAAGTGATATATCAACAAGTACTAGACAGGTTAAAAAAATAAATAAAGCTGTCTGGCCAAGAAGTGGTCATAAAATTTGGACAAACAGGAACTGTCACAGACTACAAGCAGACATGTAATTTTGCTACAACCACTTTCAAAAGCAATTTGACATTATCTAAATAAACTAAACAGAGGCATATCCTGAGACCAGTAATTCTACTCTTTATGCATCCCTTAATTTCTCTTTTCTGTGCCGCAGGAAATGCATAGGAGAAAGTCGATACAGAGTTGATACAAAACATGGAAAGAGTGTAATGTACAAATATCAACTACACAGAAGAAACGTAAACATACTGCAGATATGCACAAAAAAGGAAGGGAATCTAGATGGGGGAGAGTGAGGGAAGGGAAAGGGAATGAAAAATAGATTTAAGATATATTATGTTCATGTACCAATTCCCCACAAGAAAGGTAAATATTATATACCTCACACATGTTCTAATAAAATGAAAAAAACAATGTAATGGAGACATTAAAAGTGCTATGAAAGCTGGAACCATTGCTGGCCTTAATGTACTTGGAATTATCAGTGAGCCAAGAGCTGCTGCTATTGCTTATGGCTTAGACAAAAAAGGATGGAGCTGAAA